TATATATATATATATATATATATATATATATATATATATATTATATATATATATTATATATATATATATATATATATATATATATATATATCAACATTTATGTGATTAGGATTAAAATGTGCTGTCCACGTTGTTATTCATGATGACGGTCGTCTTCGAGTATAGATTCCAGAGGTTAGCAGTGAATATTTCGAAGACAGTAGGAAAGCGTAGTTCAGGTTAGTAGCGGATATTTTGGTAAAAGTAGCAGAGCGTAGTTCGTCCTTCTGTTCCTCTTCGCCTGACAAGCTGGCACTGGACATTCGGATAGAGTAAACAAAATGGCCGCCTTTATACACGACGGATTGAATATTCTACGTCTTCTGATTGGTTAACCTTCTATTGGTGGACTATAAAGTGAGTCGTCATTTGGGCTAGCTCACTAATTACATAATATACACAAAAAAACTGCAACACACGTGATTTGGTTGAAATTAAGTAGTCGGTTTGCCGGAGTAAAGAATTCACACTTAGCGGAGACAATCCCAGACGATGCCGTGACTACATCTATATAGAGACGATATTTTCTTATTTAGCCCTAAATAAAACACTGTCTAACGGCGGTAAGCTAAGTTTATTAGAAGACAAACGGAAGTAATCTCCCTGTAGGAAATTAGATATTGCATACCACTTCAACGCTCTTTCTTTGCTTCCAACGAAATATAATTGTCGTCTTAATTTTGTAATAAGTAGGTGCTATAGGTTTGCAATGGACAAGATTAGTTTTGGTCATCAGTTTTTTAGTTAGAAATGTAACTACTTTTTACGGCTGAGTTAAGGACAAAAAACTTTTAAAATAAATGAATTCAACATTTTCAGAAGAGCTAAATTTAAATCCAGTAGCATTTATTCCATACAAATGGTGATCTCGACTTGTTGCGTTCCGTAGTTGGCTGAAATTAAGAAGACCGTCTGCTGGCGGAGGAAATCTCTCCCAACGTGGAAAAGTCTTTTTGTTTTCGCAACTACATTCCGAGGCAAGAAAGAGGGAAAGTGTATATTGCCATATGCTTTTGTATCCTTTGGTTTTATCCAAAAGTGCGCCATCTAGAGGACGCTTTTCATGAGTCTTAAAGGAGCTTGGGTTTCTTTTCTCCACGTTGAACAGAAAATATATAAAATGCCCTGACTACAAAAGGTTTATTCAATCAGAAATTACGGAAGAGAGAAGCCGATACAAATATATTTCCTGATCAGGTGCTTTGTTTATAATAATGTTTTTTTTTTTTGCTTTGTTTTTTTGCTGTTTTACAAGTGTTTTAGAATAATGGATGTAAAGTTACCTGTTCCAAAAGCCGAAAATCTATTTGTGATGTTTTAAAGGTCACGACGATTATCCTCATGATGTTTTGCAGAGAAAAAAATACAAGGAAAAGTGTTTGACATTTGTGACTGGCGTTAATCGGATCATTTGTTGATTTTGCTTCAGGAAAAAAGAAAAAAAAATCTTTTAATTCTTTCTTTAAATCATACGACTATGAACGTTATTTTTCGATTATTTTCTTTCTTACGTTTCTTCCTTTTTCTTATTAGGTTGTTTAGAAAATAAAGACCGATTTTAGAATCAAATTTATTCCTGAATTAATGTCCTTAAACAATATTTAAACCATTCAGAATAGGAACCCTGTATTTCTGCCATCAAGTTACAAGTTTCTTTATGTCTTTACGATATTTTAGAATGAAATTTTATTCTTATATTAATGCATTTAAGCAGTGTTTAAATCAGTCAAAATAGAAACTGTGAATATCTACACATTTCTGCCATCAAGTTACAAGATTCTTTATACCTTTACAAAATTTTAGAATCAATTTTTATTCTTGAATTAATGTATTTAAATAGTGTTTATATCAGTCGAAATAGGATCCCTGAACATCTATAGAATTCTGCCATTAAATTGCAAGGTTATTTATACCTTTACAATATTTTAGAATCAACTTTTATTCTTGAATTGATGTATTTAAATAGTGTTTATATCAGTCAAAATAGGATCCCTGAACATCTATAGAATTCTGCCATTGAATTGCAAGGTTATTTAAGCCTTTACGATATTTTAGAATCAACTTTTATTCCAGAATTATTGTATTTAAACAGTGTTTAAATCAGTCAAAATAGAAACCCTTAAAATCTATGAATTTCTGTCATCGAATTAGAAGGATATTTCTACCTTTACTTTATTTTGGTATCAACTTTATTTCTGAATTAATTTATTTAATTCAGGTTTAAATCAGTCAGAATAGGAACCCTAAGTCTATTCATATGCAATATCCACACTTATTTTGCAATGGGATGTGTTTTTGGTTTAAAAATTGTCACGATACTTGAAAAGGGGGAATACGGTAGATGTGGCAAAGTATCATATCCCAAATCGGTGAGCTTCTGAAGTGCCATCAGGATTAAAATAGCCGAGCATTGTTATGAAACAGAACTGGGCCTCGTTGATTAACGAGTGCAGGTCCGATTTTGTTTAACTAAATGCGCCTTTCACCCACTTGCTGGCAGTAAACTACGGCAGTGATTCTCCGGTTAGATTGCCGAAAGCTGTAATCCATAACGGTAATGAGCGGGGACCCAAGACAGTCACTATAATCTTCTATTGCTGTAATTTGGTTTGGGAAAGTGTTTGGGGTTTTTCGACATGATCAAGTCGTTTATGATTGTCATAAATTCTAATTCCAAGTTAACGACGATAATTCAAATTGATTCGGTCAAGAAATTGAATGCACATAAAAACGTCGACCCGTGACTTTCCCTGAGTTCATGTGGAACCCATTCATCGAGTTACTTCCCCTTGACAATTTTCTTGAATTGGTCCGATATTATTGAAATGCTGACAACCATGATCTGAGAGATTTCTCTGGCGCACTGACGTGGGTTTTCTGCCTATATTTCTGAGATGAGGTATTATGTACACTATTTACATTATTCGGACTATTGTCCTCATCTTTGTTGCCCTATTTTTTTACAATGTTTCGGCCGTCATACGCTCCGGCCTTCTCCAGGTGGTTGGAATGTCGAACTGAGCCCTTTATTTCGCTAGACTGTTCTGTTTCAGAACCTCTGAAAGTTCTCCACTGTCTTAACTCACACTCTTTGGGTCCTGTCACTGGATCTAACTAACGCCTTTATCCACTGTGCCATGTGTCCTTGAGGACATCTATGTATGAATTTCTGGGTATTATAAACCTAATGTCTGAAGCAACCATTTTTTTACAAGTGCTCATATTGCAATTTTTTGCTGTTATCATTACATGTTTTTACCAGAGCTCATATTGAAATTTTTGTTGTTATTATCGCTTTTCTCTAGCACTCCTTATTACTGGTTCCTATATTATATTCATTTCTATGCTTGGTCGGCTCAGGAGATTTTTGTGGCCTAGCATATGAGCTGATTCCTTAAGTTTACGAATTTTCCAACGGTGTTCTCTGTCTATGTTCTCAACCTGATCCCACAGATTGCGGTCATCTCCCTTCTCTCTCCATATGTGGTCAACTACGCCTGATTTTTCCACTTTCCCTCGTGTTAAGGCAGTGGAGAACTTTCAAAGGGGAATTAACAGGAGATAACTGATAACTGACATCCATTAAACATGGCACGTGGAACTAGAACAGTCTACACCAGTGAGCGAAATAAAGGATTCAGTTCAACATTCCAACCACCTGAAGAAGCCCGGAGCGTACAACGACCGAAACGTTGTAATAAATATGGCGACAAACATGAGGACAATAGTCCGGATAATGTAGATAGTGGGCGTGGGTTTTGTTTGACTATTTTTTTTCCAGGTGCTAATTGTTAATTGCAGGTGGATGTCCTCTACAACCTTCATCTTCAAGACACGTAGTCCGGTCACGTGGATCCTTCAAGCGCATGCGCTGTTAATGTTGGCAGCCAGCAGTTTGAGAAACATTATAAAAAAGGTTGAACTAATGCAAAAGAGTAAACGCATCGCTTCTTTTCTTTTTTTCATGTTCAAAATAACGAGTATATCTTTTCTTTCTTTTTATGTGTTGTGTCCCTTCAGGGCGTAACCGATAATGGCTCTCCACTTCTTCCTATCATTTGTACCTCTCAATACGTTTTGCCCCTTTGCTATTTCCCCCAACCCTGTCATTCACTTGCGTAAGCCCTCCAGGCATGTCATGTGTTGCTTTCCCTTGTCTCTGTTTCTCTCTATTCGACCTGTGAGTATCAGATTCTCCAAGCCCTCCTTTCTCATTAGGTGTCCCAGAAATTTCAGCTGACTCTTCGTGATGTTGAGTATAATCTTACTCCTTGTTTGCATCCTCACCAATACCTCATCATTGCTCAGACGCTGGAACCATGATAACCTTAGCATCCTTATGGAGAACAATACCTCCGTTGTCTCGGGACTCTTCTTCATCTTTGAAAAGACCGTTTAACATTCGCTGTCGTAAAGGAAGATATATGTCGTGCAGTTCAGTACTCTTTTCTTTTTTATTGAAATTCTACTGTCCTTCTTTACGGCAAGGAATGTTGGATGGGTATATAATGAATTAAATTAAAATTTGAAAGTGATTAATATAAAATTAACAAAGACAATACTTTAATCTTTTGGCATCAGTAACATATTTTTTTTGTAACTATTATAACAGAACATAAATTAGGCACTTAAAATTACTCTACACGGACCAGAACTAAAACCATTTACGTACTGTCCAATCATTGGTTAATTCTTGATCCCGTGCGTTTGTAGTCTCGCTAGCAGCTTGAGAAGTATTATGATCACGTTTGAACTATTAAAAAAAATATTCACACACTTCATGAATTAATGATAAAACATTCATCATTTCTACTTACTTTTTCTATCAGAAGATTTATATTTTCGCACTCAAAAAAATGAAAACCAGAAGGGTATCGAAATTGTATGATTGCGAATTAAAAAAAAAATATATATATATATATTTCCTTTTTTCTTGCGGATAATCATAGATCTCGTTGAATCTATGTGTATAAGAGACGAAGAAAAGCAAGGAATATTCGAGAATGCAGTAGTAGTGGGTAGGGGAGAGTAACACGGAGGAGGGTCGAGTGAGAGACAGAGTTGAGTGTCATCTGATTCGATTGTTTGATCCAAACATGGTGCTACCCAAAAGACCTTGGAATCAAACACGGCCTTGTCTAAATAAATCGATAAATAAACGCACAGATTGCGTTGCAGGCGCACACGTGCAAATATACGCAGACCTGAATCGACTGAGATAGATAGATAGATAGATAGATAGATAGATAGATAGATATGAAGAGAATAATAAATGATAGATAGATAGATAGATAGATAGATAGATAGATAGATAGATAGATAGATATGAACAGACTGAAACATATAGATTGACAGATAGATATGAACAGACCTAGATAGACAGATAGATATGAACATAGATAGGTAGATAGATATGATCAGACTGCGATAAATAGATACCTACATAGATAGATACGAACAGATTGAGATAGATAGATAGATAAATAGACAGATAGATAGATAGATAGATAGATATGAACAGATGAGAAATATATAGATATGAAGAGACATAGATAGGTAGACAGATAGAAAGATAGATATGAGCAGACTACGATAAATAGATAGATATGAACAGGTTGAGATAGATAGATAGATAGATAGATAGATAGATAGATAGGAACAGACTGAAATATATAGATTGACAGATAGATATGAACAGACATAGGTAGATAGATAGAAATATAGATATGAGCAGACTGATAAATAGATGCCGACATAGATAGATACGAACAGATTGAGATAGATAGATAGATAGATAGATAGATAGATAGATAGATAGACTTTGATAGAAAGACACAGATCAACTGATCGAGTGATAAAGAGAAGAGAATATACGAACGTCTATCTACAGTGTTCTATTTATTATATATATCTTATACTGTTTCTTTCTTTCTATCTATCTATCTATCTATCTATCTATCTATCTATCTATCTATCTATCTTATTCTGTTTCTATCTATCTATCTATCTATCATATTCTGTTTCTATCTATCTATCTATCTATCTATCTTATTCTGTTTCTATCTATCTATCTATCTATCTATCATATTCTGTTTCTATCTATCTATTTATCTTATTCTGTTTCTATCTATCTATCTATCTATCTATCTATCTATCTATCTATCTATCTATCTTATTATGTTTCTATATACCTATCTATATGTTATAGATATACATATATCCGATATGTACTTGGGCACCAAACCCTCTTTTATGCAAGTTCCTGACTACTGACATGCTGCTGGTTTTAAGCTATTTATTTAATTTTTCTTGTGCCGTATAAATTGTTTTCTTTTCTGTATATCAAGAGTGTAAAATCTATTCGAATGTTTAGTATGTCAGGGCGCTTTCGGTTATTCTTTTAGCTAGTATCAAGGATTTAAAAAAAAATTCTAACTGAATATCAAGATTACATTTATCTATGTATTTAGAATTATAGGAATGTCTTTCTTTCTAATTTCCAAACACGGTCAGAATATTGTGATCGTGTTCATTTGTCTTTTATTTTTTAATGATTGGCGAAATCCCTTCGCTAGTAGACATAATTATAAGCATTATACTACTAATAATCCACTAAATGATGAGATCTGTATGTATAAAATGGATATGGTGTATTTTTTAAATTCAGTTAGTACTTTCGAGTGCTTCACGCATTCATCTTCAGGCTGTATCTTTTTCCTTTAGAATCAAAACTGGAAGACGAAATAAATGTGTTTTTCCAACCGAAAGATGTTTTTAAGAATGAGCTATTTATTAACGGTTATGTAGTGTTGCAGCGTGCAGGTCATCAATTGTTTTTCATGAACATAATAAAATAGGCAGCATATATTTTATATTACAAAGAGTTAATCATACCTTGAATCAATTAGCAAAACACATTTATTTCGTCTTCCAGTTTTGATTGAGAGAGAGAGAGAGAGAGAGAGAGAGAGAGAGAGAGAGAGAGAGAGAGAGAGAGGAAACAAAAACTGGTTAGACAATGTCAAAAAATGGACAAGTATGACTATACAAGAATTGCTAATGGCTGCCGTTGATAGACTGTGGGGGAGATTCAGTGTAGCTTCTGCATTCGGACCAAAAAGTCAAGGGAATGATGGTAATGATGATGATTCAGAGCTTTTGCATTAATTTAAACGTTTTTTTTTTTTAACAGACATTGCTTTTTATCAAAAGTTTTATTTTCGACTTGACTTATATATATATATGAAACCATGGATATAAATTTCATATGCTTTCAATATATATATATATATATATATATATACAAATATTTAAGTAAATGCTCACTTTATAATAAAAAGTATTAACGACATTTACCGGCCTGAATGTCCGAGATATTTTCATAGAAAATATGCATCCTCCAACAGGAATCGAACCTGTATCCTACACGGAACCGTCATATAGCCTGACGTGCTTTTACCGATTTAGCCCCAGAGAGCGTTTCGGTTAGCAAGGTAGAGTTTACTGTTTTTAAACTACAATTCTCCATGATTTTCTCTCGTACATTCATATCTGCTCGATGCTTTATTCCAAATGTAATCAAAATGACGTTACACATTATGAAATGGACAGTGTCCGACAATTATTTAAGACATTTTTATATGTTATTCATAAATTAAGAAACATTAGGCTAAGCAGATAATTCACTTGAAACTTTCTTAATGCATATATGTATATATATATATATATATAGTTCAAACGAGTTACACACACACAGACAAATACATATATATATATATATATATATATATATATATATATATATATAATAGATAGGTTGGTTAATAAAACAAGGATGAACGAAAGGTTGCCAATATAATTAGTAAGATAAACATTTAATAAATATTAATCATATGACAAAAATAAACCATGCAGAGAAAGATTTCATGTGCGGAATTTTCGGACACATATGATTAATATTTAATAAAGATTTTATCGAACGAATTATATTACTACCCTTTTATTTGTACTTGTTTTATTAACTAACCTGTCTAGTTTACACATTAGTAGACGGAAACGTGAACCACTTTTTTGTTTTAATTATACACTGCGTTTCAAATTATTAACGAGGTGACATTTTTTCATTTCGTCCAAAAACTACCAAATGGATATATGTATCTGCGCAGACTGTATGAAAACTGTATTGTTCTGCGCAACAGGAAACAAACGGTAGCCATTTGCAATATTAAGACGATATAGAAGTGTTCCAGACTATAAACTAGTGTCATTATAACCGTGCAATTATGGGTCGTAAATGTCACTTGACTTCTTCTGAGAAAAGATATTATAATATCTGAACTTTCCAAAGGCAAATCTACATTAGAAATATCCAAAATAATTGGAAGATATCACCAAACTGTGAAAACATTTGTTGCAACTCTTACACGTACGTAAGAGGGTTAATAAAGGTCACTTTCCTAACGTTCTTTGCCACGAATGAAACGTAAATCTTTTAATGACCCAGGCCTTATAGGTGGAACACTTTTCAGGAACACTGGAGAAGCAACAGTGTCCAAAAGTACTCGGTATCATCTTCTGAAAAAGGTTGAGACATTTGTGAGTCCAGTGACAAAGCCTCGATTGACAAAAATACATATACAAATACGTTTGAAATGGGCAAAGGAGAACATGAAGGTCGATTTCTCGAGAATTCTGTTCACAAATGAAAGTCGTGCAACACATTATGGCCGTTAAGGTTGAAGCAAATGTTAGGTCGTAAATAGACGAGATCGTCATCCAACCTTGACACGCCAAAAAGGAGGAGGGGATATTATGATTTGTGCTGTTATTATTGGAGGTATCATGGTTGGTTGGAGGAGAGTGATTGACGGTACGAAAATAATTGCATATGCTTATATAGCCTTTCTCAAAGAGAACCTGGAATCTTGGCTAAAAAATATCAAAGAATCTTCAGGAGAATCATCCTATTTATCCAAGACAATATTCCTTCGCATTCAGCGCATAAAACTACGGTGTACCTGCATAAATTAGGGTGCTGTGGGCCTCGGAACCTGAACTGGCCTGTCAGTTCTCCAGACTTAAACCCATTTGAAAACTTGTGGAGAATTCTGTAGCGACGTGTTTATGAGAATGGATTCGAATTTAGAAGCAAGGATGACTTATGGCGGGAAATAATCAACATATGACGTAAAATTACATCAGCGGATATCCAGAAATTGAGATCTTCCACGGACCAGCACCTTTTCAAAGTCATTTATAAAAAAAGGATCGCATATCAAATATTAACCAAATCCACGATGCTTTTTGAACTCTGTTTACTTTTTTTTATTTCAATTTAATTTCATCTTAGTCACTGTATGTATCCATGAAAATCATGCTTATTATAAAACCCTGGCTGTGTGTGTGTGTGTGTGTCTGTACGTTCATATATTGGATCGGATTTCCTATACTTTTCAACCGATTTCAACAAAATTCACAGAACTACGTAAAATTACCTTGCGGTGGTTCTGACAGTGCCAAAAATTGGAAAAACACAATTGTTTTTGCACGAAATCAATTTGAAAACACGATTAAGAGGCATCACTGTCGCCAGAATGAAAGGGGGACAACTCATATCGAGTTATACTTATTATAAAACCCAGGTTGTGTGTGTGTGTGTGTGTTCGTTTATATATGGGATCGGATTTCTTACATTTTTTTCAACCGATTTCAACAAAACTTCACTTTTTTTTAAGTAGTGTTTCTTATTGCCTTGCACACTTTTTTTATTTTTACATTCAGAATGCTTTAAAAATTCCATTTACAAGACAATTGTTTATAATAAAATTCTATTCAATCAGTAGACTCATAACGATTGAAAACAATGTTTTTGTTTGAGTTTTGGGTTTGACCAATTCAAAAAAAAAAAAAACTAATTAAGACATGTGTGTCCGTCAACCTTAAACAATAATCTTTGTCAATTTTATTTTTCAGTCTTTATGATGGTCGATACTTGATCTATCTCTTACTGTTACACCCCCGGGCAACGCCTGGCTCTACTGCTAGTCTGTAAATAAAGCAATTAAAGTGTTATTTTCTTTTTTGACAGTTTTTTTATTGCACCTCGCTAATAATTTGATACACTAATAATTTAAATTAATTAGGTAAATGACCGTAATTTCTGTTTCTTTTTCTAGAACCATACAATTTTTACAGTGTAGGTGTATATACATGTTATAATCATTATTTATCATTTCGTTAAATTCCAACCAGTAGTTTTTACTGCATGGAAAACTGTTACGTCATTAACAATTTGAAACACTGTGATTATATATATATATATATATATATATATATATTGAGGAACTTGTGGCATTATATTGGGGACCTTGTGGCACGTAGTACACCAGGTCTCTGTATTCGGCCCTTCAAAAAGTGTGGATGGCCCTGCACGAAGCCTTCACCACTATAATCGAATCTCATGTGCCGGTGTCGGGCTGTCAGTTTCCTGGAAACTGATCTGCTTGACCCTCATACGTCGAACCCGACGGGAGAATCCATTATATATATATATATATATCAAGAAATATAGTCATAAGATGTGCTATATTTATAGGATAAAATGCTCAATATCAGAGATAGAGATATATATATATATATATATATATATATATATATATATATATATATATATATATATATATATATATATATATATATATATATATATATATAAGCAAACACACACACGAATGTGTGTGCATATATATATATATAT